AAACAGTTTAAATTTCTGGTTTAACAGTTTTCTTTTTGTTTTCTATTTTTTTCCTCTCTCTCTCTCTCTCTCTCTCTCTCTCTCTCTCTCTCTCTCTCTCTCTCTCGCTGTGTGTAGGTGTGTGTTTATCACAATAGTATCAAATAAATGCTGAAACCTAACCTCTGCAGTGTTACGGTTTACTGTCGTAGAACAGTTAACAAATTAACTTTAATTATTTAACTTCTGAATACAAATTGTGACAAAGATAGAAAGTGATGCCAACACCAGTGAAAAAAATAAATCACTGACTCAAATTTATTTTAAAACTTAAGGTATGAACACACACTCACTTACATGACTTTTTTGGAGGCTTTGACCACAGGCAGCAGCCTCAGAAGAGCTTCCTCTGAAGCAGAGTATTTCTTCAGGTCAAAAACATCCAGATAATTTTCTGATGACAGTAAGATGAAGACTAGAGCTGACCACTGAGCAGGAGACAGTTCATCTGTAGAGAGACTTCCTGAACTCAGGGACTGCTGGATCTCAACCACTAGAGAACAATCATTCAGTTCATTCAAACAGTGAAACAGGTTGAGGCTTTTCTCTGTGGACAGGTTCTCATTGAGCTTCTTCTTGATGTACTGAACTGTTTCCTGATTGGTCTGTGAGCTACTTCCTGTCTGTGTCAGCAGGCCTCGTAGGAGAGTCTGATTTGTCTGCAGTGAAAGACCCAGGAGGAAACGAAGAAACAAGTCCAGGTGTCCATTTGGACTCTGTAAGGCCTTGTCTACAGCACACTGGTAGAAGACTTTTTGCTTGTGTTTAATTCCAAACAGTTTAAATGACCAAGATTTCTTTTCTTCCAGCAGATTTACTCTGGAGTTGATGAAGGTCAGATGGACATGAAGAGCAGCCAGAAACTCCTGAACACTCAGATGGACAAAGCAGAACACCTTGTCCTGGTACAGTCCTCTCTCCTCTTTAAAGATCTGTGTGAACACTCCTGAGTACACTGAGGCTGCTCTGATATCGATGCCACACTCTGTCAGGTCTGATTCATAGAAGATCAGGTTTCTTTTCTGTAGCTGATCAAAAGCCAGTTTTCCCAGAGCCTCAACCATCTTCCTGCTGTCTGGACTCCAGGGTGGATCTGTCTCCGATCCTTCATCCTTGACCTTCTTCAATTGGACTTGCACCATCATGAAGTGGATGTACAGCTCTGTGAGGCTTTTAGGCAGATCACTGCTCTCATTATTTATTGTAAGAGAATCCAGAACTGTAGCAGTGATCCAGCAGAAAACTGGGATGCGGCACATGATGTGGAGGTTTTCTGATAACAAGATGTGGGAAATTATAATACTGGCCTGCTCCTCATCTCTGAATCTCTTCCAGAAATATTCATCCTTCTGTCGGTCATTGAACCCTCTGATCTCTGTCACTATGTCAACAAACTGAGCAGGGATCTGATTGGCTGCTGCAGGTCGTGTGGTTATCCAGACATGGGCAGAGGGAAGTAAATGGCCCTTAACTAGGTTTATCAGCAGCAAATGAACTGAGGTGGCCTCTCTAGGGTCAGTCAGGATCTTGGTGTTGTTGAAGTCCAGAGGAAGTCGACACTCATCCAGACCATCAAAGATGAACACAACCTGGAAGTCTTCAAAGCTGCAGATTCCTGCTTCTTTGGTTTCAGTAAAGAAGTGATGAACAAGTTCCACCAAGCTGAAAGTTTTCTCTTTCAAAAGATTCAGCTCTCTGAAAGTGAACAGAAATATGAACTGGATGTCCTGGTTGGCTTTGTCTTCAGCCCAGTCAAGAGTGTATTTTTGTGTTAAGACTGTTTTCCCAATGCCAGCCACTCCCTTTGTCAGCACTGTTCTGATTGGTTCTTCTCTTCCAGGTGAGCCTTTAAAGATCTTGTCTTGTCTGACTGTTTTTTCTTGCCTGTCTGATTTCCTGGATGCCATTTCAATCTGTCTGAGCTCATGTTCATCAGTGACCTCTGCAGTCCCTCCCTCTATGATGTACAGATCTGTGTATATCAGATTCAGAAGGGTTGGGCTTTCTCCTTTGGTGCTCGCCTCAAACGCACACCGGAGCTCCCTCTTTAGTTTAGATTTGAGTTCTGACTCACACTTTAGAGGACCATCTGAATGACAAAACAACATTATAAGATTATTTGACAACTTGTAGTCAATTGTTGACCTTCCAAAACATTTCTTTAATTCACTGGGAATCTGTGAGTCAATTAAGAAAGTATTCAGATCTCTTGTTTTTATGCCGTAAATTCATTTTAAATGAATTAAAAAACATCGACACACAGAAACAGTGTCTCATCAGATCCAAGAACCCCTTTCCTCTCTGAAGTATTACTGCTGGTTAACAACCTGAAGCGTATCTGACTTAAAGGAGTTTAAAAGATTCATTGGTAGAAATTGTGAGGTGGCACTTCCAGCAAGTTCTCTTTGAAAACAACAAGAGCTCTCATCGATCAGTGTATACATGTTTCTGTGTTAATGACAACTCCTCAGACAAACTATTGATATCCTACCTGTTGGTGAAGCCTCTTGAGTTGAATTGTCCATCTGTTTATATTCAGTAGGTTTCTCCATACTTAATCTATAAAAAAAGAGAGAAAACATGAAGCACATTAAGTACTGGAGATGTTTTGGCATAATGCATAGTTGCATATTTGAAAAAGCCTACACACAGCATATCAGCACAAAAAGCTAATACCAACTATCACTCACAGTGGTGGAGGGGTGATGGTGTGTGCTTGTTTTGGCCACCTTGAAGTCACTGAATCAAAGTCAAAGTCCAATTCTCAACCTGACCGAGAAGAGAGCTGTGCACAAACAAGTGTCCACAAACATCAATAAACTGAATAAACACTGTAAAGAAGAATTGGCAGAAAATACATAAAATATTTACTTTAAGTTATTACTGCTTAACGTTTTTCTATAAGTTGAAGCATAGGATGTAGTTTTTCACACACTGTGTCTGCATTTTGCCTTATATGACATAACATGTCATTTGATTTTTATCTCCAGTTGTTTTTATCTGGCAGATTTCATAACAAGGTTATTATTTTATTTCATGTGAAGAATAATGACCAACATTATGAAATAAATACCTATGTCATGCAGAATTACTGCATAAATACATGTCATACCAGAGTAATAAACACAATAGTATCATCAAAATACTATGCACACCAAGAAAAGAAGTCAAATTTAATATTTTAGAAATATGTCAACATCTGATTTCAACTTAGATAATCAAAGTATGATTATATTTAAAATATATTAATTTTAAGTATTATAATTAATTATCTTAAAATGGTTTAGATAATTTTAGACAGAGGTTAAAAATATCCACTTTTGTTTGGTCAAACCCAGTTTGGCTGTGTAACAAATGCACCACATGTTGCAACAACCGCTCCAAGTATTGGCACAAACTGTTAAAATTACTTCCTCTTGGAGGAGAGCCAACAGTATTTATTTCGAGTAAGAGGCCTGCATATTGAAACTATATCTGCAGGAGATAACAAATGATCATTTACAAAGCTCAACCTGTCCTCCATCTACCTTTTCTTCTGTGTTTCTACAACAGGCTGACTGATTCAGTCATCCATTCAGATCCAACACAGCTTAAGAATTATAGGCCTATCTCTAAACTCCCATTACTGTCAAAAATTCTGGAAAAAGCAGTTGCTGATCAACTTACTGCTTTTTTAGAAAAACGTGACATGTATGACAAATTTCAGTCTGATTCCGTAAGTGTCACTCAACAGAAACCACATTAACCCCTTAGCAGTCCTACAAATTTACAATTAGTCCCCTAAACCATCCAATGTACCGTGGGCGGTACGTCCGACTGCTAACAGGTTAATTAAGGTCTCTAGTGACATTATGATGTCAGCTGACTCCGGAGCATCCACAGTCATGGTTTTGCTGGACTTAACATTTGCCTTTGACACTGTTGACCATACCATCCTGATTAACAGGCTCCGGGACATAGTCACTGTCAGTGTGTCCGGTCTTGCGCTGGAGTGGTTTCAGTCATACCTTTCCAACAGATCTTTTAGTGTCTTTGCAAATCAGTTTATGTCACACTCTAAGGACCTGACATGAAGGGTCCCACAGGGTTCAGTTCTGGGACCGATTCTTTTTCTCCTGTACATGTTACTCGTAGGACTTATAATTAGGCAGTTCCCTAATTTGTCTTATCACTTTTATGCTGATGATATTCAGCTCTACTGCTCTTTTAAGCCGATGGAAGTCCATAAAATGTCCTTTTTTCATAAAATGTTTAGCTTCCATTAAACAGTTTCTTGGAGAAAACTACTTGCAGTTGAACTCTAAGAAGTTAGAAACATTAATTATTGCCCCTGAAAGCCAGATAGCTATAATCAAAAAGCATCTTGGTTCTCTTGGATCATCTGTTCACCCGAGCCTCAGGTATCTCATGTTGTTTTTGATTCTGCCATGTCTCTACAGCAACACTCTAGATTAATTAGTAACTGCCTTTTTCAGCTATGAAATATTTCCAAACTGTGAACTTTTTTTTGTCTAAATCAGAGTTAGAAATGATTACCCATGCTTTTATTTCTTCTCACTTAGATTATTGTAACAGTCTTTTTCTTTGTTTGAGCAAAAGGAATCTTGACCGTCTCCAGTTAGTCCAGAATGCTGCTGCAAGGCTTTTAACTAAGACACGAAAAAGAGAGCACATTACACCAGCGTTATGCTCATTACACTGGCTTCCAGTACATTTTAGAATTCATTTTAAAATCTTAGTCCTGACTTTTAAAGCTTTGAATCATGACGCTCCTGCCTATATTTCTGATCTTTTAGAACCTCACACTCCCTCTCGCAGCCTGAGATCATCTAATCAAAGGCTGTTGGTAGTTCCCTGAACATGTCTTAAAACCAGAGGTGATAGATCTTTTAGAGCGGTGGCCCTCAGGTTGTGGAATTCTCTCCCTCCATCTCTATGCTGCCTGGATTGTATTTATTCTTTTAAACATCATCTTAAGACTCACTTATTTAGACTAGCTTTTAATTAGATTTGCGCTGTATGTTTGATTGTACCGTATTATGTTTATCTGTTTTATATTATTGTGAAGCACTTTGTGTTTTTTATCCTGTGAAGAGTGCTCTATATAATCAATAAAGTAAAGTAAAGTAAAGTAAAGTAAAGTAAAGTCATCAGTAAGTGGATCTGCAGCAACAATGACTGAGTAACACTTCTGCTGCTCTGATTCTTGGATTGTACACACACACACACACACACACACACACTGAGTGAGGACACCACCTTGAGAAAGGGTAGGATGGGGAGCTCTAGAGTTTCATAATCAGATAACTCTGTTCTTGCAATAACTGAAAGTTACTGTGACGGTCTGTGGTTGTGCAACTTTGTGCTTTTACAAATGTTACACAACTATTTTTTTCTGATCTGAGCTGGTGATCTGAAATAGATCAACAGCTTTAAAAGTTATGTAACACCATGTATTGTTTTATAACTTCTAAAGTTACAATAGAGTTTTAGGACAAACCTTAAACTTCATTTTCATTTTCAAATCCAGCTGTAACATAACATTGTACAAAAAGTAGCCCGTGAGATTCCCTTAACTCTCTTATTACCCAGCAACTAAGCATCTTTTCAAGTACAGGTATACCTACACTGACAAACAGCACAAAATAGATCCAGAATTGAATAAGTGAGCAAAGAACAGTCCCGATACATTAAAAAATAAGCAGGAGTAATCAAACATGCAGCAAATCAATCAATAGGATAATGAAGCGCAGGTGAAGACAATCAGACAGAGCAGACACAAAAGAAAGCAGTAAAACGAAGGTTTTCAGTAAAACATGAAATAACTAAAAGACAGGTAACACAGGATAATAACAGGAAAGGGACAAACATTCAGAAAAAAATTAAAAAGGTAAGAAAACAGAACAGAAGCATAAAAAAACAAGAACAATTATAAAACAGAGAAAATATGAAAACTGTGAAAAGTTGTAGAGTAGAAAAAAGGAACTATTCAAATAAAACAGAAGAATTTCAAGAGAGTAGAAATTCTCAGGTCTTTAGATCGAAGCTTGAAGGCAGTGACAAAAAACAACAATGGACTCCTCACACATTGGTGAAAACTAAACACACACTGAAGTGGATGTAAATGTCAGTCGCCTTCAGCCCACATTCACAGGTCCAGCTCTGACTCCCTTAACATGAACTACAGAGCTGTTAATGAGAAAAACAAAACTGTCTTCATTACCGTCACATGGAGCTTCCCCCGGAGACCATCATCTGTAACACCGAGTTCTGGCAAGGGAGGCTAAACGTTATAATAAGGAAACACCCAAAGAGGCATTTTTGGGGGAAGTTTTGCAAAATCAGTCCATTTAAAATCTTGAAATCACTGTTTTGTTACTGAAGGTAGTTTAGTTTGAGTTGTTTTTGGCTGAGCTGTGCCCTTAATCACTGATGTGCAGGAAACAGGATACACCACTCAAGATTTCGGTAAATCTTGGTTTATTTTCCACAAATCAACCAATCAATAAAAAAAAATAAAAAAATGTTAAAACCCACAGGAAACACAAAGAAGCAGAAAACACTGTAAGTATAGATGATTTTTAGACTGTAATTCTGTTTTGTTTTCAAGTTTAATTGACTTGGAAAAAAGTCCAAATGTAACACACTAGAAGTTCATCTCTTCCAATTACAGGTATGTAGGAATATTTACAAGAATACCAAAGTTGAGAGTAAGTGAACATTTTTTGGAACATTACTGTTATCCACCAAATCAATTCAACATCATAGGAAATAAATGAAAGTGTCTAAATATTTAAGTAAAGCCAGTAATGAATCTTAGAGTGTAGTTTTACAAGAACAGAGAGACAAACCATCAACTTCGAATCAGACACATTTACAATTAAAGAAGATGTTTGTTAAAATTATTTTCAATCACATGGTGGAGAGAGGCAACACAGTGGCACGGTGGTTAGCACTGTTGCCGCACAGCAAGAAGGTCCTGAGTTCAATTCCACCATCAGGCCGGGGTCTTTCTGTGTGGAGTTTGCATGTTTTCCCCGTGTCTGTGTGGGTTCCCTCCAGGTACTCTGGCTTCCTCCCACTGTCCAAAGACATGCAGCTTGTGGGGATAAGTTAATTGGATAATCTAAATTGCCACTAGGTGTGAATGGTTGTCTGTCTTGTGTGTTAGCCCTGCGACAGACTGGCAACCTGTCCAGGGTGTACCCCGCCTCTTGCCCTATGACAGCTGGGATTGGCTCCAGCGCCCCTGAGAGAGATTTTCTTTGTTCTTAAAACAGGAGAGTCTCGCCGTAATGTGCCTTGTAGTCAGGCTCAGGTTTTTTTTATGTGGACACTGAAGAATGAAACTAAAAAACTGGCCCTGCTGCTGCATTCCTGCTACATTTACTGACTGACTCTTTAAACACACTCATATTTAATAAATGCACCGCATGAAAGTTTTTAGCTATTTCCCCCAAATTGATAACATTCACAAACACTAATGTTGCATGGTTTGGTAAACCATTCCAGATGATAATAGTCACATGCTTAAAATGCCCTGTCTTTGGATTTGGAGTATTGCTAAGCTTTGTACAGGGTGGGCCATTTATATGAATACACCGTAATAAAATGGGACTGGTTGGTGATATTAAAGTCCTGTTTGTGGCACATTAGTATATGTGAGGGGGCAAACTCCTCAAGATGGGTGGTGACCATGGTGGCCATTTAGAAGTCGGCCATCTTGGATACAACTTTTGTTTTTTCAATAGGAAGAGGGCCATGTGACACATCAAACTTATTGGTAATGTCACAAGAAAAACAATGGTGTGCTTGGTTGTCATCATCTAAACAGCTGACTCTGTCTTATTGTTTCATTGCATAGTTAATTGTTGTTTTCACTTTCTTCTCACAGTCAACCATCCACATGTGAGGCTTTCTAGGAGCAAATTGAAAATCAAGGCTGCAGTAACATAAATGGTATAGGCAAGTCTGTCCTTCACCCCTATGTTTCTCCATCTTTCCCCCTCAGAAACAATGCCGTTTAGGAGCTCAAATATGTTTACAAGTTCTAACAGTGAATCACTCAGAATACAGATTTTTCCTCCATTGTTTATATTAGAATTAGAAGTAATTACTATTATTATGCTATAGCTATTATGGTGCTACAGGTGTAATAGTGTATAGTGCTATATAAACTAGATAACTCACATAAAACTTTTTCTTTGCATTCCTTTTTGCTACAAAGCTCTCATTTCTTGTCATCTTGATATTATAAATCAGCCACACCCCTAATCAGTTTACTGGAGCCAATCCCAGCTATCATAGGGTGCTAGGTGGGGTACACCCTGGACAGGTTATCAGTCTGTCACAGGGCTAACACACAGAAACAGACAACCATTAACACCTATGGGCAATGTAGAATTAGAATTTTATTATTATGAACTTTAAGTAATTTCAATTTCAAACACCTTGTAGTCCCACACTTGGGATATTTTGTCTTCTGCATTTAACCCATTCACTCAGTGAATCAGTGGGCAGCTACCAATCCAGCACCCGGAGAGCAGGATTTGAAACCCCGATCTTCTGATTATGGGGGAACCACTCCACCTACTGAGCTATCCCTGCTCCCTGCTTTGCTGATTATTTTAATTATACTTAAATTTCGAGGAATTCCCCTGTAAAAAGGTACACTTCAACCACAGCAAGATCCTTGTTAACTTAATTCAGTACAAAGGACTAGATGTTACAGTCCCTGATAATGCATTGCTTTAGATGGAGAGCCTCTTGAGGGATGACTGTTTGGCAGCAGCACACATCGTTGTGTGCCTCAACTTTTGGTCTTTTACCCAGGCTAATCTGCCATTTCCTTCCTTGGTCAGGTTTAGGGATTAGAGATCTGATCTAGATTGTAATTTTAAAATTTGGGACACATCGTCAGTAGTGGCCCTTGGATTCATCGGGTGTTTCGGCCATTGTCACTAGACACCCTCATCAAGGAGGCCCTGCCAGGGTTGATCAGGCCCTGGAGTGTGTCACTGGTTTATGTTAAATTGTTATTTATCTTCTTCTTTTTTCTGTTTAGTTTCCTACAGTTTACTTTCTATCTATTCACTGCAACTGAGAAATAATACTTACCACGTTAGCATTTATGGAGCCTAGCTTCTTTAAAGGGATAGAAAAGGTGATAGAGAAAAGTAAGACAAAAGGGACAAGATAGGAGAGAGCAGAGAGGAGAGCCAGAAGGGGGGTGCCCGATCTGGCTTCCCACACCTCCCCGCCAGATCGGGCTGTACACTCTACCTCCCCACTGCCTCCCAGAAAAGGGAAGAAGAGCAGAGGGGAGAAGAGCGGAATATTTCTTTTGTCTCGCGGTTAGCTGACTGCCTTAGCTGCCCGAGTGATGTCAGCCCTTTTTAACCATAGCCAGTAACTGGTCCTCTCAGCAGTGTTGGCTAGTTCTCTTATGGCCTGCCATTGCGCCTGTCCTCTGATCCCAATCTCTCTAAAGCTGGGCATACACTGTGCAATTTTTTCAGTCGCGTTATTCAGCTATTCTGCTCAAACTGCACGATTGACTCGCAGGGGTTAGAAGTTCGCAGGTCACGATGCAGGGTCTCATACTATACAGCCCGATGCTCTGATGCGACCTGAGTGCTCACACTGTGCGTCCTTAAAATGAAGGTTACAACAGAAAATCTGTCGCTCGCTCTCCCTTTCTCTCCCTCGCTGTCTTTCACTCACACAGACACACCACCACCATCAACTTTGCTAAATTGCTAATGAAAAACATTGATCAGGCAGTTGTGATTGAGCAGCAATGTAGATCCAACTATTTTCACGGTTGTTGTGATAATTTTGTGAGGTCACATCGAAAAGGCTCAGATGAGCTTTCCAAAGTTCTACAAGTTGTGCTTCCATCGCTTGTGCCCAGATCACATGCTGCACTACTCCTTCTTTTTCACCGACATTTATGTGTTTGTGCGTGCGCAGTGTGAGCGGCTGCAGTGACACCCTCACGACGGTCGGGAGGATTTCAAACAGAGACCAAGCGATTAATGATCGGGAGCTGGTCGTAAGGTGTTAATCGCTTCTCGTTACCCCACATATACTACACGATGCACGACGCACGATGAAGGCCAAACTTGGGCCGATCACCAAAACGGTCGCACGACTCAAAAACCGGCTCAAAATGGGCCAAAAATCACACAGTGTAAGCCCAGCATAAGCATTTTTGCTGTTGTACTGGCAACAAAGCCCCTGCACCCCACTTCCACCGGGTGCACCTTGATGTTCCAGCCTCTATCCTCTACCTCAGCTGCCAAGTTGGCATACCGCAGCTTCTTACACTCAAATGCTTCCTCAATTGCTTCCTCACATGGTACCGTCAGCTCAATGACGTACGCAAGATTTCAGGAGTTAGACCAGAGGACGAGGTCTGGTCGCAGAGTTGTTGTTACGATCTCTGTGGGAAAAATTAGCCTCTGATCCAAGTCCACTTGCATCTGCCAATCCCTGGCAACCTTCAGCGGGCCCAGGCCTGGGGTTGAGGGGCTTGTCCTCGGCTTGTCTCCTTCCTGGGCAAATGTTGATGAAAACTGACGCTCCTCTTGATTCATGAAAGGTGAGCGTTAATGGATTTTCTTTTGCACTCAAATTTCTCAGCTAGACACCTGAGAACCTGGTTGTGTCTCCATGTGTATTTGCCCTGAGTAAGGCTATAATAAATAATCAAGATTTATTTGTGACTAATATGATTTTGAATGTTGATTATATTAGCTTGGATGATCCAAATCATTGTTGATCTGATTTATTTATTTCACAATTTAAGTGGTGAAGATTTTGCAACAGCTAAAATTTGACAATAAGATAACTTATGATTTAGGAAAACTCAGTTTACTCACATTAGATATTGTGTCATTGCAGTTGTTGAGAGAGATTAAGAACACCTTCAGAGATCATTTCAAACCACTACACCAACATCCAGAGTTTTAGTGTAGGTTTTGGAAAATTTCCTGTGTCTGCATTGGTGTTCTTCAGGTCAGTTAGTGCAGAGATGTAGCAGGCTAACTGGGAGCTCTGTAAAGTGACCATGAAAGATTACCTGTATATTTGGTCTGTGATGGAATACCTTCTCATAGAGTGCACATGTGCCTCTCATCCAGTGAACTCACACATTTCAAATCAGATGAAAATGTGAAGTGATGCTGGTAAAATCACGGGCAAAATACAGATAATGTGCACAACTTTCAAATAAGCAAGAGCAGTTCTTTAGGACATTTAAATTGTCATTCTATGATTACCAGAAGGTGAATCATATTATCAAATACAGTGAAGACTATTGTATGTGTGCATGCATACAAGATTACACACAAAGCATCACATTTGAGCTCTCAGTATTAGCAGAGTTAGTTTTTTTA